GTGGTGCTGGGGGATTGAACTGCGGTCCCTGTGCTTTGCTAAGCTTGTTCTAAGTAGGTGCTTTAGACCACTGAGCCATCTCACCAGCCCCAGTAATAGACTATTAAAAGTTATGTAAATATTCAGTGTATTTTTTTGATCACACCTTATAGGGATTTACCTATCTTTGATAAATGATTGACTTATGAGACTGATTCACTACCAAAATATCTCAGTTCTTCATGCATGGATAAAATATCTTGTATCCCATTTTTTCTTTCATTTAAGCAGCTACATGTAAATTCAAGAAGTTCTTTAAGAAAAAGAATATTTCTAATAATAACATGAAAAAACATTTCTATTCCCATGAAAACTTTGTGTATATAACTTATATTTATAGTTTTTGACCACATATAATTTTAAATTTGTAGTCTTCAGATAGTTTTATGACAAACACTGGACCATTTCAATATTATGTGAGGAATGATTCCGACAAGCCATTGGAAAATTCTGGTTTTCCTGAAGATGTTCAAGTACCACCTGGAAATGGCAGTAGTGGGACTGTGCAGGTGGTAGCAGTTGAAGGAAAAGGTGAAATAAAGCATGGAGGAGAAGATGGCAGAAATAACAGTGGAGCACCACACCATGAGAAGCGAGGTGGAGAAAGTGAGGAGTTCTCTAATGTCAGAAGAGCAAGAGGTAAGTATTACTGTTTCTACCCCCAAAACTAATATTTATAAAGTAGTAAATGGAGAAGTTCTATCTAGAAGAGTCACTAATACTTTCCGCATGTATAGGCTGTCAGTTATGTTACCCTTATGTAACGATTTTTCTTTATATCTAGTTCTCTCCTTTGGCTCCATGCATGTAGCAGTGTGTTCTCGGAAGATATCAGGGAAAAAATTTCTCTTATTCTTTTATGTGGTTTTTGGAGGTGGTCATATTTCTGTTCTGTTGCCTCCTGAGCATTCATTGACTGTTTCAGTTGTGCTTTTTATTCCCTTTTCCTTCTGTAGGTAAGATTTAATTATCTTTCACACATTTTACTGCTTAGTCAAAAGAGATTATTTAAAGCTCACAAATCAAAGATAGGAATAAAAGAACATTTAACAATGGAAAGATGAATATAATAATAGTAATCACCAGGCATGATGGCTCATCCTTGTAGTCCCTGTTATAGTGCTCAGACTAAGGTAGTAGGTTCACAAGTTCAAAGCCATTGTAGGCAGTTTATCAAGACCCTATCTCAAAATAAAAAATAAAATTTAAAGAAGAGCCTGGGGAATATAGCTCTATGTAGATAACCTAGGTTCAATCCCAATAGTGGGGGAAAAAAACCAGATTCAATATGATCAGGTAATAGAA